CATGTAAGAGTTGGCTGAAGTTAATATCATCTGATCCACGCATAGCCTTTACAAATCCTGTCTGGATAGCGAAAAAACTGGATGGTACTTGAAAATGACAGATTACGGAGAACAGAATAAGATGGTGCCTTCTCTGCATGCAGTTGTTCCTAATGTTGGCTGGTTGAGGTCACAAATCGGTAGTTATCATTTTGTTGTTGATTTAGCTAATGCCTTTTTTAGTGTTGCTATTCATGAAGATTAACAAGACCAATTTACATTTTCCTGGGAAGGATGCCAGTGGCTATTTACTACTTTAGCCCAGGGATATATCCACAGCCCTATCCTTTGCTATAGTATAATTGCACAAGATTTAGAAAAATAGAGTAAGCCAAATATGGCATCTTTGTGTTATTAAGCAATGACATTATATTAATCTCCGACTCTTTCAGACCTGGAGCAAGCTGCCTCATGACTAGTAGAGCATTTACAGGACTGGAGATATAAATTACAAGGGCCTGGATATCTGTCAAACACTTGTGGGTTGTTTGGTTGGGTAAGACAAAATAACAAAGCAAGGACATTAGAAGTTACTGATAAAATCTAAGCCTTTCCCACTCTACCACCCCCTAAGCAACTATAAGAGCTTTGGGGTTTGTTAGGTTATTGGTGAGTATTTATCCCTCACCTGGCCCAGGTGGTTTGTCCTTTGTATAAGTTAACCAACAAGGGAGTACAATGGAATTGGGACTGTGGAGTGCCAACACCCCCAACAGGCATTCAGTGCTGTCAAAAGTGCCATAGGTACTATGCAGGCATTGGGCAATTTAAATCATTCACTGTGCTGCAAATTGGATGTTTATGTTACCCAGGAGGTGTATGCCCAGGGGCCTTGTAACAGCAAGGGAAAGTGAGACTTCCCACTGGGTGCTGGTCACGAACTGGGAAGTGGGCCCAGGCCTAATACAGTCCTATTGAACAGCAGGTGAATATCATTTATCAAGCCTTATAGCTACTGAGCCTATAATGGCAAGGATGTCCCTCCCCATTGTTGGGTGGATACATGATTTGTCCCATAAACAGAAATTCAGATACTCGGGCAACCTTCACTAAGTGGTGAACCTACCTGCAATAGCACAGTGAGTTATCTACCAGCCCCTTAAGCCATGAACTGTAGCAGCTATTAGGGCCTGTGACATTCATCAACACTGATGTCTCTCAGATAAAAGCTCCTGCCCTCACCCCACCTCCCAAGAGGGAGGGGATGCCTCCAGTGCCAGAAGATGTTTGGTATATAGGTGGCTCCTCCCCCAGCCGAAAGCAAGCTGTAGTATGCGAGCCACCCACAAACACCATGTGAATGAAGAGGGCAAAGGGCAAAGCAATCAGTAGGTGAAACAAAGAACTGTATGGATTGTGATCTCTAAGGAGGAAAGAACCTAGCTCTTTGCATAGACAGCTGGGCAGTCTTCAAAGGATTTGCATTATGGACACTGCAATGGCACCAACAACAATGGAACATCATGAACAAACCTTTGTGGGAGCAGGACAGGAGGCAAGACATTTATGAAATTAGCAAGACTAAGACTATGATATTTATCATGTGTCTGGCCACTTCCCACTTCAAAGTCCTGGCAATGATGAGGCCTATGCATTAGCACATATCTGATGGGACCAGCAGTTAGCGTAATGGCTATGTCGCTGGACTCCCATGTAGTCGACCACGGTTCGCATCACGGACCCGGTGGCTTAAAACTCACACCGGGTGCGTGTGCGTATGTGCCCAAGATCCCGGAGAGGAGAATGGAGAAGGAATTGTGGCGTGGCCATCCCCCCTGGGGGGTGATTTCTCGCTTTCTGTCTCTCTCTCTCTGTCTGGCTGGCGAGCGCATGCGCCCTATAGCAAAAACCTCTAAAAAAAAAAAAAAAAAAAAAAACCCCTAAAAAAAAAAAAAAAAAAAACCACATATCTGATGACTGGAGGAAGGCCCTTTCAAGATGTTGCGGAGTGGCTTCACCAGAAAATGACACATGCCAGGCAAAAGACTTTGTGAGAATTGACAAAAGCCTGGGGAATTCCTTTAAAATACTCGCTTTCTGTCTCTCTGTCCTTCTAGCAAGTGCACGCACCCTATAACAAAAATTAAACTCTCAAAAAAAAAGTAAGAATTTGTCCCCAGCCACAACAGTCCAGATGAGTACCCCTCCTATGTCAACATCACAAGACTGGAGGCACAAGACCCTAAACATATTCTCTTGATTCTGTTAATTGATAAGATAACCTCAAGCAAATACTGTATGTAGAAACCAAAGTCCTGTCTTGGAGACAAAAAGTCTACACTGATCTTTGATTGATTTATATATGCTTTGTTAACATATATAACCTAAGCGTGTGCTCCCTGACTATGCAGATCACTTATATCGACTGGTGTCATTGGTACAACCCATCCTACTCTGCTCTATGTAAGTAACTAAACTCATGTTTTCCCCTGTTGGATCTCTGGGTACATTCTTTGGAATCGGTAAACATTATGCACAATCCTCACAGATTGGGAACTCCTGCTTTACAGTACACACTTGCCTTTGATCCAAGACTGGCTAAAAGCTAGAAGAATGTGATGTCAAGAACTCACTGGGAGTGCTCAGCCCCCTCTCTCTCTCTCACTCTCTCATTCTTTTGCTCATGGAACAAATACACATTTTTAAGCAATTTAAAAAGAAATTGAGGGCCATCGGGTGGTGTGGTGGTTAAGGTGCTGGATTCTGACATGGCTCATGGTTCAAGTCCCAGACCCAGTGGCTTGAATATCATGCTGGGCATGTGTGCCCCAAATCCCAGGAGAAAAATGGAGGAGAAGGGACTGTAGCACAGCCATCTCCCCCGGGTGTGTGTGTGTGTGCGGGGGGGAATGATTTCTCCCTTTCCCTTTCTCTGCCTGTCTTTACCATGAGCACATGCACCCTATGGCAAAAAAAAAAAAAAAAAAGAAAGAAAAAAGAACCACCAATATCGTCACCTTTGTAAAGAAGGGAGAAAAATTAGGAGAAAGAAGGGGTTATTACCTTCATAGTCATTTTCAGAAAGCAAACATTCCAAAGAGTCCCAAACCTACTCACTTTGCCCTCCTTTTAATTACGGTTTATTTGTGACTGAATATGAATAGGTGCATTTATGAATTGAAACACAACTCACATACATGAGTAATTGTGTAAAGATGTGTTTGGGAGCTCTCAAGAACAAATCTTTCAGCAAGTCTTCAAATGGTAGCGGAGTAGGGAGGCTATCTTTGAAAAGAGTGTATCTGTTATAGGATAAGCTCAATTGGGAAAATCCTCAATTGGGAAAATCCTGAAACAGGAACAGAAACTAAGGAGTAGATTATGACCACTATTCTAAGACAAGATGATTTGTTAATTATGGCTCTTGCTAGACTCCTGCAAATCTGCCCTCAGGGAGAATGTATACCTATGTATACCTCCCCTATTTAAAGTTCCTTTGTTTAGATTCTGTTAACTACTTGGACCTCCACTAAATAGGTTGGTGACAAACTTGACTTTTCATCTCAAACAAAAGAAAGCTGTAAAGAGATTTCATTCTCAAAAAAGACTGCATTTAAGTTTCATTGAAACCAATAATTTTGCTCTAGAAAGAAAATGAAAGGGTTCAAAACTCCTCCCTTGCACCCTCCTCCAGCCTGCTGAGACTTAACTACAATAACCAGGCACTATCTCTGCCAGCTACCCTTAATCATTGAGCCAGCCCCACTAGCTAAGGCCATCCTGACGTCTGAATAGGACTAAAAACTGGGTAGGTAACATTTAGATATCATCTGGCCATCAAATATGATAAGAAATAGACGGAAGGTGGGCCCTGTGGCCTGGTGGTTAAAGCAGCTAGATCCCACATAGTTGACTTCATGGTTCAAATCCAGGCCTGACAACTTGAAGAACATGCTGGGCACATATGCATCCATGCACCAAATCCCCACGGGGTAGAGAGATGGAGGAGAAGGGACTGTGGTGTGGCCATGCCCTTTTGGGGAGTGCTTTCTCCCTCTCTCTCTCTGTCCCTCTAGCTCTCTAGTGAGCACGTGTACCCTCCAGCAAATTAAAACAGAAAACAAAAAAAAAGAAATAAGTGGAATAGAGGGCATGTAAAAGGACTGGTATCTATCTCTGGTGTTTTCAAATTACCTTTCCATAATGATAATGCATACTTTGGCTCAAACAGGGGATACAATTCCCAATTTGGTAGACCTCAGTGTACCCTTCCGGAATAAGTCCTTACCGTAGAAAAGCAAAGCTGCTTGGCTCAGCTCCTGCACTAATTCAGTAACTGCAAAATCCTGCCTCAGCTTTGAAAAAGGATTTTGGAAAAGGAAACAGTAGTAGAAGAAGACAAGTTTGTTTGTTTGTTTCTTTCTTTCTTTCTCTCTCTCTTTCTTTCTTTTTCCCCAAAGATTTATTTTATTTTATTTATTTTATCATTATTTTACTTGGAATCATCAGAGAGAGACACAAAGAGAGAGGGAAAGTGAGAAAGCAAGCCACCAGGGCTGGGACTAAAACCATGGTCAGTCATGTGGGAGTCCAGCACCCTAACCATCATGCCACCTGCTGGCTCTAGGAGACAGATTTTTTTTTAGAGAGAGATATTTCTGCTATCGGGGGGCATGCACTCGCCAGAGACACAGAGAGACAGAAAGTGAGAAATCACCCTCCAGGAGGATGGCCACACCACAATCCCTTCTCTTCCATTAGGACAAAGGTTTCTTTTTTTTTTAGAAGTTTTTCAAAGAATTATTTATTTTTTAATTTGTTATTATACTCATTATTATTATTTTAATTTGACCAGACAGAGAGAGAGAAAGGGAAAAACAAGAAAGCAAGCTGCCAGGTCCGATACTCAAATCACAATCGACCATGTGGGAATCCAGCACCCTTAACCACCATGCCACCTGCTGACCCCATAGGAGACAAGTTTCTAATGCAAAAGGAATCCTCCTTTCAGTATTCATTACCTTAAAGCAGGGACTAATAGTGGATGGCCAGCGCACAGGGTCCTTGAGAATGAGGTTGACGAGCTGAAAGATGCTTGTGGTATAGAAGGGAGGAGTACCTACAGCCAGCTCATACAGTATGCAGCCCACAGACCAGAGGTCTGCTGTATGGTCATATGGTCGCTCCTCCACCAGCTCTGGAGACATATATAGTGGTGTGCCTTTGATGGATGTCAGCACCATTGTGTTGGTGCTCATAGCCCGGGCAAATCTGTAGGAGAATGTGGGACAGAAATGCAAAGGTAAAAGATATCCTAGACCTGGTCACTACTACCTATCATTGTATGAGATATCCCAAACCAGAGCAGAGAGGGCATCTTTAATTAGGTTCCAAAAGACCTAGTGGGCATTCCAGTCTTCAGCTCACATTCTAAAACAAGGCCCACGTGAGTGAAGCATATAGTTTAAGACTTTCTGCAGACCTGGAAGCATAGACAGCAGCTTAGAATCCTTACCCAAAGTCACAGAGCTTGATGCCACCACCCTTGGCCAGGAGGATGTTCTGAGGTTTCATGTCTCGATGTAGAATGCGGTGGGAATGCAGATAGTACAGAGCAGACACTAACTGGGCAGCAATGACCTGGACCTAGGAGTCAATCAGGTGGGAGGAAGAAAGAAAAGGTCAGAGGAAGGAACCACTAACAAGCCCACAGGCTTCTAACATAAAGCCAGTGTGACCTTCTCTTCCTTTCCCTTCTTCCAGAGCTTCACATACACCTTTAGTTCTTGCTCTCTTTGTTAATGTACTCTTTTGTTTGTCCATTCATTCATTCATGGAAAATAATTGATTCTCACTTACTAGCTGTATAACCATGGGCTAATTATTTTATGCCTTTCAGATTCATCACCTACAAAGTGACAATAATGATACCACCTCCCTCACAGGATTATTGTGAAAACTGAATGAAGTAAAACATATAAAGCTGGGGCCAGCAGGTGGTGTGATGGTTAAGGTGCAAGACTCCCACATGGCTGACCACGGTTTGACTCCTGGACAAGGGCTGGCTTAAAAATCATGCCAGGTGTGTGCGCCTGTGCGTGCCTAAAACCCTGAGAGGAGAATGGAGGAAAAAGGACTGAAGCATGGCCATGCCCCCTGGGGATGTTACGGGATATTACTGGGAAAATCTTCAACTGGGCCTAAAACAGGAATAGAAGGTAGGAGTAAATTTCTCATTTGCTCTCTCTCTGTCTCTCTCTGTCCAGTAAGCACATATGCCCTATGGCAAAAACCTAAAAATTTGTATATATACAAAGTAACACTCAAAATAGTGCCTGACACTAAGTGAGTGCTATGATTGGAGTCCAGTGGGGGCCATGCTTGCTACACTACTGAGAAGTCTCTGAAATGAAATCTCTGAACTGTGTCTGGAGAATGTATTCAGTCAAATGCTACTAACCACTATGTCCAAGTAAAATCTTGCCTGACCACAACTTAAGCTTTTACTCTGCTGCCACCACACTGGCCCTTCTTTCCTATAGGTACCTAATAAAAACAACAATGTTAATAATAGGTAACTATTTATTTATCTAAAGAATTATTCTTTCTTTTCTCTTTTCTTTTCTTTTTTCTTTCTTCCTTTCTTTAAATTTGCCCAGAGAAGGATAGAGTGAGGGGGGAGAGAGAGAGAAACAGAAAGAAAATGAAAAATCAGGCCGCCAGGTCCAGGACTCAAACTGCAGTTGGCCATGTGGAAGTAAAGTGCTCTTTTTTTTTTTTTTTTGAGAGGTTTTATTTTATTTTATTTTATTTTTTTGCTATAGGGCGTGTGCGCTCGCCAGATAGACAGAGAGAGACAGAGAGACAGAAAGTGAGAAATCACCCAGGGGGGATGGCCACGCCGCAATCCCTTCTCCTCCATTCTCCTCTCGGGATCTTGGGCACGCACGCACACGTGCCCGGCGTGGCGCTCTTAACCAATATGCTATCCGCTGGCCTCAATAAGTAACTACTTAAACACTTCATATGCATTTACTCATTACTCCTCACAACAACCTTTTGCAGTAGACATTAATAGTATTTCCATTTTACAAACAAGGAAACTAAGCACAAAGAAATGAACTTGTCTGAGGGTACCCAGCAAGTAAGGACAAAGTCAAGCTTCATACTCAGATATTTTGGCTCTAGTGTTGATGTACTTTACTTTCATCCCTCTATATACACCTAAACTCTGTCTTTTTTTAGGTTTTTGCCTTGGGGTAGGTGCACTCACCAGAAGAGACAAAGAGAAGCAAAGTGAGATATCCCTCCCCCCAGGGGAGATAGCCACACCACAATTCCTTTTTCTTCAGTCTCCTCTCAGGATTTTGAGCATGTAACACACACGCACCCAGCATGATTTTTCAAGCTGCTGGGTCTGAGACTCAAACATATAGTCAGCCATGTGGGATCCAGCACCTTAACCTCCATGTCACCTGCTGGCCCTATATAAGTTGGACTCTTACATGCTTCCCAGGAGTATTCAAAATGGATTCTCAGTACCTTCAGCTTGCCCCACCAGTCCTTAACCTGGAGAAAGGTTGGGGGTGGGAGAAATTTCAGTCAAAAATAATACCTGGTCTTCAGGAAGTTTTCCATCATCTTCTAGAATCTGAAAGAGCTCTCCTTCAGCATAGTCAGTTACCACCACCACCTGCAGGGAGGAAGCAGTAGCACTAACGGTTCCAGATTCATGCATTCTTTGGTTAGCAAATTCCTGGGACCCTGGTGCTTGGACGAAGGTGACCCAAAACCATCAAAGCACACCTCTTTGTCAGTCTCAAAGCTATCAAGCATATGCACAATATTCGGATGCCGCAGACCTCGCATGATTTCGATCTCTCGCTGCAGGTTCTTCAGCTCCTTCTCTGAACGCCCCAATTTTGGAATGAACTTCAAAGCCACAACCTGTCAGTGGTAAGGTGAACAGTCAAGGCCTAACCAAGCTATTGCTTTAAGTTTTAGGTTTTTATTAGCTATAGGGTATATGTACTTGCTGGGTGTGGGAGGGAGAGAGGGGGAGAGTGAGAAAGCATTCCCCAGGGGGGCTGGTCCCTTCTCCTCCAGTTTCCTTTTGGGATTTTGGGCACGCATGTGCACATGTCCAGTTTTGCTAGGTCTGAGACTCCAACTACAGAGTCGGCCATGTGGGACCCAACCACCTTAACCACCACACACCAGCTGGCCCCCTAACCACACTACTTGAAAAGAGATAGAACTTCAAACTTAACCTCAGTATTCCAGAACTCAGACTAGACTGCTTGAAGAACTCTTATTACACCTGCTAGCCTCTCATCTCCACTCTCCCCATAATGCACTAGCATTGCCCAGGCTTCCTCTACCTCCTGCCCCAGGAAGAAACAGCCTCTGCCAAACAGATACCTCTGGTGGGTTTTGCAATAGATCTGGGGAAAAGAGAAGGAAGAAAAATTAAGAGAGAATAGAGTTCAGGTGGTTTATCGCTTTCTGTTTGGTATGACAGGGACTATCAATCTTGGGTTGTTGAAAAAAACCATGTCAGGACCAGCAGTTAGCATAATGGCTATGTCGCTGGACTCCCATGTAGTCGACCGTGGTTCGTGTCCCGGACCCAGTGGCTTAAAACTCACGCTGGGTGCATGTGCGTGCGTGCGTGCCCAAGATCCTGAGAGAAGAACGGAGGACAAGGGATTGCGGTGTGGCCATCCCCCCTAGGGGGTGATTTCTTGCTTTCTGTCTCTGTCTGTCTCTGGCTGGCTGGCGAGCGCACACGCCCTATAGCAAAAACCTCTCCAAAAAAAAAAAAAAAACAGAAAAAACCATGTCATATTTTTCTATGCAAAAATCCATCAGGACTTTTCCAACAACCCAGTATTTGTTGTTTGCTATGTGTCAGGCACCCTACTAAGTGATTTAGTGTGACATCACATTTAACCCTCAAACTCCATCAATTGGATACTGTTCTTATCTCAATTTTATAAGTAATGAAACAGACACAGAAAGGCTAAGTAACTTGTCCATAATTCTAAAGTTTTAAAATGGTGAAACTGGAGACCAGCAGATGGTATAATGGTTACATCACTGCACTCCTACGTAATCAACTGTAGTTCAAGTCCCAGATCTGGTGGCGTGAAACTCACACCAGGCACATGTATGTGTGTGTGTGTGTGTGTGTGTGTGCTCAAAATCCCTAGAAGAAAATGAAGAGAGAGGATTGAGGCATGGCTATCCCCCTTGGGTGGTGATTTCTCACTTTTTATCTCTCTCTGTCTCTCTGGCAAGTGCACGTGCATTATAGCAAAACAAAAACAAAAACTCTTTTTAATAAATAAATAAAAATCAAATAGTAAAGCTGGAATTTAAAACCAAGTAACCTAACTTTAGAGCTCATACTCCAGAAATATGAAGGAGTTAGTGACTTAGGAATAAAGATTGGGGGCCAGCAGGTGGCATAGTGGTTAAGAGTGCTAGACTCCACATGGCTGACCACCTTCAAGTCCTGGACCTGATGGCTTGCTTTCTCACTCTCTCTCTCTTTCTCTCACTTGCTCTGTCCTCTCTAGTCAAATTTAAATAAATAAATAAAGTTAAATAATTTCTTTTTTTTTTTAAAAAAAAGGAATAAAGATTGGTATAAATGTATCCTGAAAAAGGAAATAAGAATAGTAAGACAGGAGTCAGCAGATGGCATGGTGGTTAAATGCTAGACTCCCACACTGGACTGCAGTTTGAGTCCTACACCTGGTGACTTGTTTTCTCACTTTCTCTCTCTCTTTTTGTCTCTCTCTGGCGAGCACAAGCACTATAGCAAATGATAATAATAAATAAAATTAAATAAATAATTCTAAAAAAACTTAAAAAAAAATACTAGGACCAGCAGTTAGCATAATGGCTATGTCACTGAACTCCGATGTGGCTGACTGCGGTTCGAGTCCTGGACCCGGTGGCTTAAACTCATGCCGGGCGCATGTGCATGTGTGCCCAAGATCCCAAGAGGAGAAGGGATTGCGGCGTGGCCATCCCCCCTAGGGGGTGATTTCTCACTTTCTATCTCTCTGTCTCTGTCTTTCTGGTGAGCACATGCGCCCTATAGCAAAAACCTCTCCAAAAAAAAGAGAAAAGAATACTAAAGACATTTGACATTTATTAGACCTTGAGCAGTAAGAGACCTGACGTATTAGCTATGCTTATGATCTTACAAATTTTAGGGAATTAAGAAGCCCTAATATACTAGATATCAGGAACGTCTTGGCCTGTAAACTAACTTAAACATTCTGGGCTGTGACATGAAAGATTACTGTCACAGAAACCTCACTACACCTGTGCTAAGTGGAAAGTCACCCAATGTAAGTTCTTGAGAAGAAAGGATGTCTAAAATTGAGGTCTGGCTAAAACTGGACTCACGGAAATAATAAGTGAAGGAAGTCTCAATACATACCCCCTCAAGGACTTCTTTTCCTTTTAAATTATTTCTTAATTTGCCATTGGACAGGTAAGCTCGCCAGAGACACAGACAGAGGGAAAATGAGAGAGCGCCTTTCAGATTGCCACTCTGCAATCTCTTCTCTATTTCTCCTTTCAGGATTTGGGCACACATGCATGTGCACTTGTGTTTTTCAAGCCACTGGGTCTGGGACTCAAACCATACTGTTGATAAGGTGACTGGCCATGTGGGACAATTGTTTTATTTTATTTTATTTTGGAGAGGTTTTTGCTACAGGGCATGTGCACTCACCAGACAGACAGAGACAGAGAGACAGCGAGAAATCCCCCCCAAGTGGGGATGGCCACGCCGCAATCCCTTCTCCTCCATTCTCCTCTCGGGATCTTGGGCACGCACGTACACGCGCCCAGCATGAGTCTAAGCCACCAGGTCCGGGACGCGAACCACTGTTGACTACATGGGAGTTCAGCAACATAGCCATTATGCTAACTGCTAGTCCCGGGACAATTATCTTTTTTTTAAGAATTATTTTATTTTAACTTCATTTATTTGTTTTAATTTGACCAGAGAGGGACAGAGTGAGAGCAAGAGGGAAACTAAGAAAGCAAGCCACCAGGTCCGGGACTCAAAACAGTGGTCAGCCATGTGGGAGTCCAGCAGCCTTAACCACCACACCATCTAGTGGCCCCTCAAGGACACTTCTTAACAAAGAATTCAATAACTACCTACAATAAAGTAAAAGTACCCTAAGTTCCCACAAACTGCATATTATTCATTGTAACTCCACCTGCCTGCAGATCCATTACCAAAATGTATAATATATTAAACATAAAAAGCCAGTTAGCAACTTGTGCAGCTCTTATGAACCAAAGTTGTGAGTTCTAAGGGGAAAATAAACATGCATGACCATTCTTCTTTCTTATTTTCCCTATACATGAAAGCCCCAGGGCCAGTCAGTGGTATGGTGGTTAAGGTGACTGAATTCCACATGGTCAACTGTGAGGTCTGGGTCCCAAATCCCACTGCTTTAAAAACATGGCAGGTGCCTGTGCCTGTCTTCCCCAAATCCTCAAAGGATAAAGAAATGGAAAAGGGACTGAGGTATTACTATCCCCCACCGGGAGTGGGCATGCTTTCTCACTCCCCTCCTTCCCCTGGCGGTACATATACCGTCTGGAGAATTTTTTAAAAAGAAAGAAAACCCAAGCTCCCACATTTCAGAACACTGGCTACTGTTTCCTAAAGACTTTGTTTCCCAGATGGCATTCACATGCTTTGGCTTGAAAAAACCTTTTTGCGTGCTTGACAAGTTGGGGGTCAGACTTCTTTATTTCAGATTGGCAGTCCCTACTGGCCCCATTTTCCACTGAAGTTGGGGGTACAGAATCCCACCCCAAAAATATTCCTCTTTGTTTACGACCTGAGCACTATATTTTCTTCGACCCTTGTACACCCTCCCAAAAGAGCCTTCTCCAATCATCTCCAACACGTGGTACTTTTCCATGACAGAAGTTTCAGGTGCTCTCAGAAGGAAGACAGTAGAGACGGTGGTGAAGATCGAGAGTCAGTTCCACACATCTGGGAGGCCTGATTCGGGCACAGAAGAAGGGTAACGTTAGCCCCTTGCCTCTTCCTCTTTTTCAAAATAATCCAGTCCTCGAAAACTTGGTAGGGTGGAGTAGATGGAAAGATGAAGAGGTCTGGAACAAACGGAGCCCATCCTAGGGGTTTCTGCCTCTTCAGCACCGCGCCCACCCAACACCGGGTGCCCTGTCGCCTTCAACTCGGCCTCGCAGCTTCACGGGCTCGCCCCCAGCCTCTCCTCCTTCCCGATCCTGACCCTTCTGCAGCCTTGCCCGCCGACCGAGCCCCGCTCTACCTCTCCTCACCACCGCCCCTGCCCCTCAACCTAGCCTCGCTCCCTCGGACCCGCCTTCCAGCCGCCACCAACTTCCTGTCCCTGCCAACCTCCTGAGCACCCAGGCCCGGACCCCCGCCCGCGCGCTTCGCTGACCCGGTCCGCTCTCTCACCCCCAGTAGGAAGCACTAGTAGGCCCAGGGACGGTCCCGGCCTACAGCCCTGTCCCTTCTGGCTGCCCTAGTTCTTCGCCTGACTTAATTTTTCTTCGCACCACCGCTCAGCCCACTGCCGGTGCCTTTAGGCTTCCATCCTTACCAAACGTCCTCGCTAGAACTGGACGGAAGTTCCGACGACGAGGGCGCTCCCGGGCCTCCGCCCGGCACTTGCTAGCGCACTTCCGAACTCTCAGCACTCAGGCCCGCTCGGCGCCGGGAGTCTGCGTTGCCTAGAAACGGCGCTAACTCCACCCCCGTCTTGGTTTTCCACCTCCCAGTTTCCCAAGGGCATTTCCGGTTCCGGCTGCGGGCCGGAGAAGACATGGCGGCGTCTGCGTCCGCGGCAGCGGGGGACGAGGACTGGTAACTTTGGGGCCGTGGGCTTCGGCTGACTCGCTAGGTCTGGCGCCGGGCACTGATGGCGGGCGCAGAGGGG